GTCAATTTTGAGGATGAGATGAAAAAGGTGGAGAGGAAGTCGGAAATGCAGACAAAGAAGATGAAACTCTTTTCTTTTTTTTTTTCAGTTTTGAGGATGAGATGGATCCAATGAGCTTACCATATTATTAGAGAAATCGAAAAGACTAGGAGAATAATCTATAATGTCTGGTTCTCTAATGTTGATTAGGAATCTGGGGCAATAATGTAATTTCAAACCTCGCCTACAAAGTAAGTTTTGATGTTTTTTTTTTTTTTTCAAACCTCGTCTGCATATCATCATAGCATTTCTAATTTAAAAATAAATTAAAAAAACCCACTTTCTCTCTTCTCTATACATTTTCCTTTTAAAATTTTTATATTTACACGCGCATAATGCATGGGCTCCATTTAATTCTCTATAAATAAAGCATATCATGTTTTAGTAGGCGCATGAAATTGAAGAATCATAAATAAGGGATCCCCTTCACCAAATCCTACCCATCAACTAATCTGAACCCTTGAAATTTGATTCAACAGCTAAAAACATGAGTCCATTTTAAAAGTTATAATAACTTTAGCCGTTAGATCAAATTTTAAGGATCCAGATCGATTGATGGGAAGGATTTGGTAGAAGAGATTAGGAGATGATCCCCTTCCATAAATAAGCATGCCATATTATGTGAAATCATAAAAATATTGGATTGAGGTTTGAAATTTCCTCTTTCAAATGGACCCCAATTTTCTACTTCCCTAGTCGAACAAAGTTTGTTTTTGCCGTAACTTGTGGAAAAGGGATAGAATATGTTAACCATTCAGAACTTGTGGAAAAGGGATATAATGTGTTAACCATTCAAGTTATTCTTTAATTAAAAGTTATTCTTTAATTAAAGTGGAATGGGAATGAGTCTGTTAACCATTCAAGTTATTCTTTAATTAAAGTGGAATGGGAATGAGCTTACCATATTATTAGAGAAATCGAAAAGACTATGAGAATAATCTATAATGTCAGGTTCTCTAATGTTGATTAGGAATCTGGGGCAATAATGTAATTTCATACAAAGTAAGTTTTGATGTTTTTTTTTTCAAATCTCGCCTACATATCATTATAGCATTTCTAATTTAAAAATAAATTAAAAAAACCCACTTTTTCTCTTTTCTATACATTTTCCTTTTAAAATTTTTATATTGCCACGTGCATAATGCATGGGCTCCATTTAATTCTCCAGAAATAAAGCATACCATGTTTTAGTAGGCGCATGAAATTGAAGAATCATAAATAAGGGATCCCCTTCACCAAATCCTACCAATCAACTAATTCGAACCCTTGAAATTTGATTCAACCGCTAAAAACATGAGCCCACTTTAAAAGTTACAATAACTTTAGCCGTTTGATCAAATTTTAAGGGTCCAGATCGATTGATGGGGAGGATTTGGTAGAAGAGATCAGGAAATGATCCTCTTCCATAAATAAGCATGCCATATTATGTGAAATCATAAAAATATTGGATTGAGGTTTGAAATTTCCTCTTTCAAATGGACCCCAATTTTCTACTTCCCTAGTCGAACAAAATTTGTTTTTGCCGTAACTTGTGGAAAAGGGATAGGATATGTTAACCATTCAGAACTTGTGGAAAAGGGATATAATGTGTTAACCATTCAAGTTATTCTTTAATTAAAAGTTATTCTTTAATTAAAAGTTATTCTTTAATTAAAGTGGAATGGGAATGAGTCTGTTAACCATTCAAGTTATTCTTTAATTAAAGTGGAATGGGAATGAGCATACCATATTATTAGAGAAATCGAAAAGACTATGAGAATAATCTATAATGTCTGGTTCTCTAATGTCAAGTTATTCTTTAATTTGATGTTTTTTTTTTCAAATCTCGCCTACCTATCATTATAGCATTTCTAATTGAAAAATAAATAAAAAAACTCACTTTTTCTCTTTCTATACATTTTCCTTTTAAAATTTTTATATTGACACGCGCATAATGCATGGGCTCCATTTAATTCTCCAGAAATAAAGCATACCATGTTTTAGTAGGCGCATGAAATTGAAGAATCATAAATAAGGGATCCTCTTCACCAAATCCTACCAATCAACTAATCCGAACCCTTGAAATTTGATCCAACAGCTAAAAACATGAGCCAACTTTAAAAATTACAATAACTTCAGCCGTTTGATCAAATTTTAAGGATCCAGATCGATTGATGGGGAGGATTTGGTAGAAGAGATCAGGAAATGATCCTCTTCCATAAATAAGCATGCCATATTATGTGAAATCATAAAAATATTGGATTGAGGTTTGAAATTTCCTCTTTCAAATGGACCCCAATTTTCTACTTCCCTAGTCGAACAAAATTTGTTTTTGCCTTAACTTGTGGAAAAGGGATATAATATGTTAACCATTCAGAACTTGTGGAAAAGGGATATAATGTGTTAACCATTCAAGTTATTCTTTAATTAAAGTGGAATGGGAATGAGTGTGTTAATCATTCGAGTTATTCTTTAATTAAAGGGGAATGGCATATGTAAAGACACAGCTATTGCAAGAGAGTTACGTCTGCTTGCTGAACACGACAAGGTTGTTTATCAGAAACAAAAAGAAATCTACAAGGGAATTTTCGGACCAACCCCAGAACCTAAACCCAAACGGGATAATTGGTTGATCATCTTTTGGCACTGGCTGTTGTCATTGTTCTATCGTCTCTTCAGGTGCGAAAGGCATAAAGCTGAGTAGTCAAAGATCTTACGCTCTTGAATTGCATGATAAATGAGGAAATTCGTATGTTGAACTTGCTAATAAGCAAGACTATGAAAATGTAACCCTGAAGGTTCACTCATTTACATCTCGGGAGGGAGTTTAGATGCCAATAGTTTTATCCGGGCACAAAGATACGGTGATCAAATTAAAGTATTGAACTGTTCTAAGCTGTTAACAAGAGTTTTATCTCATTTTCGCTTTGCTTATTGAGTTTTCGGTTGTGAATTTTCTGTAACCACCATAATCTTTTAGATGGTATGTAAAATGGGTCAATTTGTTTCTTTGAAGTGCTTCTTGTTTCTTTAGTTTATCTTTGGCCGGAGAATATTGTTTCTTTTTTAACAAATTAGGGGTCTATCTGGATAGAGTGATTTAAACAAGGATTTGAATTTTTACAACAATATTGAGTTAATTAAGAAGAACTATTAGACTAGTAGTGATATTTTTTGAGGAAAAACGGAATTAGATTCCTTCTCCATTGGTTCTGAAGTTTAATAGTTTGATAATAATTTTTGAGAAATGAAAATATAATATAGTTTGTGTGGTGGAGGGAGGGGAAGCTGGTGTTTGAAAATATAGTATAGTTTTGTTGATATCTTTTGGCACTGGCTGTTGTCATTGTTCTATCGTCTCTTTAGGCACGAAGGGCATAAAGCTGAGTAGTCAAAGATCTTAAGCTCTTGAATTGTATGATAAATGAGGAAATTCGTGTATTGAACTTGCTAATAAACAAGACTATGAAATGCGACCCTGAAGATTCACTCATTTACGTCTCATGAAAGAGTTTAGATGCCAATAGTTTTATCCGGGAATAAGGATACGGTGATCAAATTAAAGTATTGAACTGTTCTAAGCTATTAACAAGAATTTTATCTCATTTTCGCTTTGCTTACTGAGTTTTCGATTGTGAATTTTCTGTCACCACCATAATCTTTTAGATGGTGTGTAAAACGGGTCAATTTGTTTCTTTGAAGTGCTTCTTGTTTCATTAGTTTATCTTTGGCCGGAGAATATTGTTTCTTTGTTAACAAATTAGGGGTCTATGTGGATGGAGTGATTTAAACATAAGGATTTGAAATTTTGCTAAAATATTGAGTTAATTAAGAAGAACTATTAGACTAGTAGTGAGGTCGTGGAATTGTTCCTATTCTTACCTAAACTACTGGCTAACAAAATGCTCTTTGTCAATCAAAAGACAATTTGGTATTCTACAGCAAAATAAAATCTTCAAGTGTTTTGGCTTTTTTTTTTTTTTTTTTTGGGGGGGGGGGGGGGGCGAAGAAAAAGGGGGAAGAAAAAGGCAGAGAGGAAGTCGGAAATGCAGACAAAGAAGACGAAACTCTTTTTTTTCTTTTTTTTTTTTTCAGTTTTGAGGATGAGATGGATCCAATGAGCTTACCATATTGTTAGAGAAATCGAAAAGACTAGGAGAATAATCTATAATGTCTGGTTCTCTAACGTTGATTAGGAATCTGGGGCAATAATGTAATTTCATACAAAGTAAGTTTTGATGTTTTTTTTTTTTTCAAACATCGCCAACATATCATTGTAGCATTTCTAATTTAAACATAAATTAAAAAACCTACTTTTTCTCTTTTCTATACATTTCCTTTTAAAATTTTTATATTTACACGCGCATAATGCATGGGCTCCATTTAATTCTCTATAAATAAAGCATATCATGTTTTAGTAGGCGCATGAAATTGAAGAATCATAAATAAGGGATCCCCTTCACCAAATCCTACCCATCAACTAATCTGAACCCTTGAAGTTTGATCCAACAGCTAAAAACATGAGCTCATTTTAAAAGTTATAATAACTTTAGCCGTTAGATCAAATTTTAAGGGTCCAGATCGATTGATGGGAAGGATTTGGTAGAAGAGATCAGGAGATGATCCCCTTCCATAAATAAGCATGCCATATTATGTGAAATCATAAAAATATTGGATTGAGGTTGAAATTTCCTCTTTCAAATGGACCCCAATTTTCAACTTCCCTAGTCGAACAAAATCTGTTTTTGCCGTAACTTGTGGAAAAGGGATAGAATATGTTAACCATTCAGAACTTGTGGAAAAGGGATATAATGTGTTAACCATTCAAGTTATTCTTTAATTAAAAGTTATTCTTTAATTAAAGTGGAATGGGAATGAGTCTGTTAACCATTCAAGTTATTGTTTAATTAAAGTGGAATGGGAATGAGTGTGTTAATCATTCAAGTTATTCTTTAATTAAAGTGGAATGGTATATGTAAAGACGAGCCATCGTTCACTACGCAAAACCCTATTCTCGTTTACAAGTTTCTACTTTAATTCACTTCACTTGCATGTGTTTTGCTTGTCCTGAATACAAGAAATGGCGGAAGGAGTTCTCTTCAACATTGCAGAACGGATCATTGTAAGGCTTGGAAACTGTGCTTTCCAAAAGATTGGATCGATTTGGGGTGTCCAAGATGAGCTCAACAAGCTCAAGGAGACCGTTGCTGGATTCCAAGATGTTCTTCTTGATGCTGAGCAAAAGCAAGCCTACAACAATGAAGTCAAGTTGTGGCTCCAAAGCGTAGAAGATGCAGTTTATGAAGCCGATGACGTGCTGGATGAGTTTAATACTCAAGTTCAGAAGAGACAAGTGATGCGTGACAATACTAAGCTGTCAAAGGTATGCCTCTTTTTTTTTTAGCTCAAATCATCCTGCTTTATGGTGAAAGATGAATCATTAGATAAAAGATATTAACAAGAGGATTCTAAAGGTTGCACCTCGTAGAGCAATTTTAAAGTCACGTAAGCCTATTGATAATCACCTATTAGGAGTACAATAGGTCTCTGAATAACTCATATTTAACTGCAACAAGTCTCCTACATTATTGTTTTGAATGTTTCATATAACTTACCGTTACAAAACTCTATTAACTTATTAATACAGTTCTATCGAAATAATGATTGTTTCTACTCAAACTCTTACAGGTGCGCCTTTTCTTTTCTAGCTCAAATCAACTTGTTTTTGGGTTAGAGATGAGTCATAAGATAAAAGATATTAACAAGAGGCTTAGTGAGGTTGCATCCCGTAGACCCAATGACTTAAACAATAATCGTGAAGATACAAGATTTATATTGAGAGAGAGGGTCACTCACTCATTTGTCCCTAAGGAAAATATTATAGGGAGAGATGAAGATAAAATGGCAATTATCCAACTTTTGTTGTATCCCATCTCAACCGAGAATGTGTCAACCATTTCCATAGTTGGAATTGGAGGATTGGGGAAAAGTGCCCTTGCCCAACTCATATTCAATGATGAGGTGATTCAAAAGCATTTTGAGTTGAAAATATGGATATGTGTCTCTAATATATTTGAGTTGGATATATTGGCCAAGAAAATCCTAAAAGCTGACGAGCTTGATAAGAAGCAGCGTGATAAGGTGGACCAGCTTGATATGGATCAGCTGCAAATTGATCTTAGAAAAAAAGTAGATGGGAAGAAATACCTACTTGTGTTGGATGATGTGTGGAATGAGGATCCACATAAGTGGTTTAGCTTGATGGACTTGTTAAGGGGTGGTGGAGAAGGTAGTAGAATATTAATAACCACTCGTACTAAAACCGTTGCGATGACATCACACACAACTAAACAGTACCCCTTAAGGGGTTTGAATGAAGTGCAAAGCTGGTCCTTATTTAAGAAAATGACTTTTCAAGATGGAAAAGAACCAGAGAATTCAACAATTAAGGCAGTTGGGATGGAGGTTGTAAGAAAATGTCAGGGAGTTCCACTCGCTATAAGGACGATAGGTGGGATGTTGCGCAACAAACATCATGAAATAGAATGGTTTAATTTCAAAGAAAGGAAACTTTCAAAAATAAGTCAAAAAGAAGATGATATTTTACCAACACTCAAACTAAGTTATGATGTGCTCCCATCACATTTGAAGCATTGTTTTGCTTATTGTAGCTTGTTCCCACCTGATTATGATATCTCTGTACCAAGATTGATTAGACTTTGGGTGGCACAAGGGTTCATTGAGTCATGCGACGAAAACGAGTGTTTGGAGGATGTTGCATTTGAATATTACAGGGAATTGTTGTGCAGATCGTTTTTTCAAGAAGAAAAAACAAATGAGTTTGGTATAATAGAAAGTTGTAAAATGCATGATCTCATGAATGAACTTGCAATCTCTGTGTCGGGGGTTAGAAGCACTGTAGTTGAGTCAAACCAAAAGAATTTTCATGGAAAGCTTTGTCATGTATCTTTCAATTTTGATATTGATTTGTCGAAATGGGAAGTGCCAACATCCTTGCTAAAAGCAAGCAAGATACGAACCTTTCTTTTTCTTCGGCAACAAGCTTGGGTTGATCACCAAAGTTCCTCACGTAATGCATTTTATACTACAATTGTTTCAAATTTTAAGTTATTGCGTATGTTGAGTCTCAATACATTAGGAATTACAACATTACCTAATTGTCTTAGAAAAATGAAACATTTGAGATATCTTGATCTTAGTGAGAATCCCATGGAGAGACTTCCAGATTGGATAGTTGGACTTTCGAATTTGGAAACACTAGATCTCAGTTGGTGTGAAAGTCTTGTGGAATTGCCTAGAGACATTAAAAAAATGATCAACTTAAGGCATCTCATCTTGGAAGGCTGTTGGAAAGTGACTGGAATGCCACGTGGAATTGGTGAATTGAAAGGTGTTCGTACATTGAATAGATTTGTTTTGAGCAAAAGCAATTGTTTGGGGAGGGGCGGTAGTGCTGGTCTTGCTGAGCTGGGTACCCTTAAGGAATTAAGGGGAGAGTTAGCCATTGACAATTTGAGGCATGTGGTGTCAGAATCAAATGTTGGTACACCTCTCAAGGACAAACACCTTGATAAGTTGCGATTAAATTGGAAATACGGAGAAGATATAAGCGCGGTTGATGAGGAGGATATTATAAAGTCAATGGAAGTATTGCAACCCCATTCTAATCTAAAGCAGTTGAAAGTGTGGTGCTATTATGGTGGTGTGAGGTTTCCGAGTTGGTTTTCTTCTCTCATAAATATTGTTAATCTCGAATTATGGTGGTGTAAGAGATGCCAACATCTTCCGCCCTTGGATCATTTGCCTTCCCTTAAGTCTCTTACATTGGTTGGGTTCGACAAGTTGGAGTACATATCAGAGAATGAGAGCAGTAATAGTATGAGTGATGAGATGATGAGGATCTCATTCTTTCCCTCCCTGGAGACACTCAAGATAGGATATTGCCCTGTTCTGAAGGGATGGTGGAGGGCCCACACTCATAACAGTGCTTCTTCTTCTTCATCAACGGAAAATCTGTCGTTGCCTTCTTTTCCTCGTCTTTCTACATTGGATATCTCTAATTGTCCTAATCTAACTTCCATGCCTCTGTATCCAAATGTGGAGAGAATAAAACTTACGAGCAGCTGGAAGGTTGTTGATTTCTTGTTTTTTAGAGGGGCATCTAATATTACACATGATGTTGGTGTTGATGTTGGTGTTGATGTTGATGTTTCTGCCTCTTCTTCTTCCCCTCATCTCTCCAAATTAACACATCTCAGACTAGAGGGAAGTGCGGATTTGGCATCACTGCTAGAAGAAATAAGCAATCTCACGTCACTGCAGCATCTTGAAATTATTTATTGCTCTAATTTGGCATCACTGCCAGAAGAAATAAGCAATCTCACGTCACTGCAACATCTTGAAATTATTTGTTGCTCTAATTTGGCATCACTGCCAGAAGAAATAAGCAATCTCACGTCACTGCAGCATCTTCAAATTATTTGTTGCTCTAATTTGGCATCACTGCCAGAAGGGATTCGTGGACTCCCCTGTTTAAATAGATTGAAAATTTGGCAGTGCCCCATGTTAAGCGAAAGATGCAAGAAAGAAACAGGTGAGGACTGGTTTAAGATTGCTCACATCCAATCCATTGAAATTGATGAATCTTAAGGTGCGTTTTCTAACTTGTTTAAATTTACACTTGCCTAATTCAGTATAAGCTACGAATTATTAAAATGCCAATCTCGTCTCTTATTTTTATTCTTCATTCATCATCATCAGCATTTTATTTTTCTTTCCAGATGGCATACCATGTGGATCAATGATTTTGGTATGCATTCATTACCCACTAAATTCAATTTTTTTTTTAATTTCTCTTTAATTTCCTTCTTTTCAATTATATAATCTTATATGCAGTGAATGGGGCGTCAACCTTTTGGATTCAATATGTAAGGGCCATGTTGATTGCTTGAAATGGTTGTATATGATTTTACTTTTGATCGTCGGGGTTTTAAGTACTATGTCCCCTCGTTGTATGTTTTTTCTTTAAATAATATAATACGGGCGTGAGGGCCTAGCCCCCCAGCTTCGACTGGGTTCCAGCCCTCATTAAATATTTCTTTTTAATATTTGTTGATGTATTGGAAGCAAAATCACCTTTGTCACATTATAACATACAAGTTGCATAATTATACACAAACAATGATAATAAAAAAAAATACGTCTATTAATTGTCAATGCACTAAAGTAACCAAATATTCTAAGATCGAAGAAAGTCCAAAATCAACTTTGGATATGGCTCGGGACACAAAAATCTGCTCCAAAACCCGAAACTAATAAAAAAAACGCTACATTCTCAGTAAAGCAAATAAAGTAATTATGTTATGTTTAGTCAAAAGGAAATTCATGACAGCCATTACAAAAACAAAAATATTTGTTGTTTTTTCTGTCCCGTCTCTATAAACAACTCAGAGAACTCCTAGTTAGTTTCTTTGTTTTCTTTTCCTTGATTTCCTTAGTAAAAACAAATTCTTCAAACATACCGAATGTTTTCTAATAATTTTCTTTTCTTTCCTTTTATTCATCTACCCAATTGAACTGGTCTCTTAAGTTTTCTTAATCTGCAATCATAATATATTGTTTTCTTAAGTTTTATTCAAAAAATTTACTAATATGTAGTGTTCTTTTCCATATTCTATCCCGCACATCTAAGTTCATTATTAACCCACACCAGTTCATACTTATAATATGTTATAGGTTTATTTTTAAAAAGCTGAAGATGCTTGTATTGCCAATAACTAAAAAGGGAAAAGTACGGACCTTGACATTCACATAGAAATCTTCCATGCAGTTCTTTGGCATCTACAAAAACAAACTTATTAACAGATCAGTCAAAGGAAAACTATTACAACCTCTGCAAAAACAAAATATGGCATGGTTGCACTCATAAAAGCATTTGGATTCATCACAATTCGTGACTCGTTAAACATGATATCTCCTTAGACATTTTGGGAACTTGACAGCTTAGAACAATTGTTATAGATTGACATAAGCCTCCAAACTTCAAAAAAAATTGAAACCTTAAGAGAGCAGAACCTGTTTTCATTCATATTTGTGCTGTTTCGATTAGCTTATCTCACTATGACTTGATTCATTAGTTCTAAAGGAAGTTCTAATCACTACGAAAACAGCTTAATAACAGTTTATTATCTCTAAAACAAGGAGGGAAAACATAGAAATACTATCTGTAATTAATAATAAGAAAAATACCATGAATGTGTTTTTGGGAAGCTGCTTTTAGCTTAGTACCCTCGTCTGGCGAAAACATATCCTACAATGCAGCAAGAAATAGAGTAAAAGGAATAATAGTTGGTTTCCATTTAGAACCTCAAAACCCCAATTTAGTCTTTCTCTTACCGGAGAGAACAGCATCTCCGGTGAAAGTGAATTCGAACTTGGCATCCATTCCTCCATCATCCTTAGAAGCAACCACATCCTGAAAGTAAGTCCCCTGACGAACTTCCCATCCATCCACTGACTCCGGAGTCTTGAACTTTACAATTGTAAGTTTGCTCTTGCTACTCTTTCCTGCTCATAATTGAGCCATTTTCTTCTTATAGTCCTACAATGCAAACAGTCAAAAGCTTCACATAAGCAATAAAATTCAAATCCAACATTGAACCAACCCATGAACTTAAAAGACATCAACACTGAAACAGATTACTAAATGTCAAAAAGGAGTATTTCAAGGATATGGCAATAAGGATCACACATGAAATGCTTTGGTAAGATTGTAGACCCCTCTTTGATCAACTCTGTAGAGGTCTCTGCTGATAGTAGAGCGTGCAATAGCACAATATATAATCTTGTTACAGCCCTGTGCTGCGGCGGACAGGGTAGCAGGATCACCCACATCTCCAGCCAATGGCAAGACATATATGAAAAAAGAGAGAATGATAACACCCACCATTTAAAGGAGTAAAAGCACAAAAAAATATCTTGCAAACCCTTGATTTATCGGTAAAGCACATCAGAACCAAACAGTCAAGAAAATAACTTAAAACCAATTCTATATTTCTAATCAGAAGATGTGCAAATTATTTTTTTTTATTCGTCTTCAATTTGTGGCACTTCATTCTCAATAATGAACAATTCACAAAATTCTAGATTTACTACATCAAAGGACAGACCGAATAGGAAAATGCATCATTCGTTATCCAACTTGAAACAACAATCCCACTAAAATTGACTACTCATAAGAATCTCATTCCACAAAACTTCTTCAGTCCAGGCCTAAACAACTGCAAGCAAAAAAATCCCCAAGATACATACTTTCATCCAAATCATCCACCGCCATTAACAAAACCACAACCTATATCTTCCTTTCAGCTAAGATTAAAGCAAAATTTGAAACCTTAATCACTCCCAAAAATGCTTTTGGAATATGAATAGAAAGGAAACTTGAAATTAGAGGATCATACAGAATTGGGATGGGGGTTGGACTCGTGCTCAGAATCGACCTCTTCCTCTTCAGATTGATCACCGAATAGATTCTGCATCACCATAGCATACTGCAACTTCGAGAAGTGTGTGTCGAAACAAATTTGAAAAGGAATGAAAACCCTGTTAACCAAACCATCAACAATAACATAAGCCACACCAATCGTAGCACACAAAACCAATCCGGCATGGTGAAATCCAGTCAACAAAACAAAAAATACTCCGAAACCCATCAGTCAATATACAGCAAGTAGAAACAACGCAATTAAAAAAAAAAAACCCCAAATCCGAAATGATCCAAACAGTTAAAACTAGGGTTTGATAATTAATGCACCTATTGCTATTAGACTTTGATCCCCGGGAATTACTGGATACTGTTGATGATATCGTTGTGTTCAAGCCAATGCATTTCAACCCTATTCGGCAAAACATCACAAAATCCATCAGAAAAAGATTCTCAAAGGTAATGGGTGAGGGGATTTCATTTGAATTGCCAGAGGATGCTGTTTAAAAGATCCTGACTGGAATATGGCTAGGCCGGACTGCCTTAAAGGAATGGGCAGAAAAGGTTCTAGCTCCGAGCATCCAACTGCTCAAATACCCAAATTAATAACCAAACAATAAAAAATAATACAAAAATCAATGCCTTCACAGAAAAATATCTAAAACCCACAAAACACCCCCACCACCCCCCCCCCCACTCCTCTCCCCCCCCCCCCCCCCACCCCCCAAAAAAAAAATCATTCAAAAATCTCACCGTGCTCAGAAATATTAATAAAGAATAAGGGGTTTATATGAGCAAGAACACATACAAACTTGGAAATGTCATATAATCCAAACCCACTTCCAATATTAGCCACAACGAAATGAGGCCGTATCGACCCAGCCAGAACCTTCTCGATAACCTCCTTCACCGCAACCTATCAATTCCAACACAAAAATTGAGAAAATGTGCGAGAAAATTGGAGCTTGTGATTTTCTCGGAAACCAAACAGGGGTCTAGACTCTAAACCAAACCTTAGGCGAGGGGTGGAGAGAGGGTAGAGGCGAGGAAGGATTCGGCTGCAGATTTGGTTCCAGGATTTGCTAACGCATGCCGCTGACGCGAAGGATAAGGCGGGTAGGTGCGAGAGGATGTCGTCCAAAAGGTCGTCGTTTAGCAGATGAGGCGAGGAGGGAGAGGGGAAGAAGCGGTGAAGAAGCAGAAGGCGATGCGTAGTCGAAGCGGAGCATCCCACGATGATCGACACGTGGGCACCAGGCACAAACGCAGAAAGCAACCCCAAAACCCTGTCGTTTGGTATGCAACCCCTTCTCCTTCTTTTTTTTTTTTTTTTTTTTTTTTTTTTTGAAACCCCAACCCCTTCTCCTTCTTTAGAATAAGGAAATGGTAATAAATGCTACGAGTCGAGCACACTCCAAAGGATCACAAGAAGCCAGACAGGAGATTAAAAACACAAAGCAGCGACATGACGTTTTTAGTTTCTGAACGTATATTTTATGTTGAAAGTGATTCCCGCTCTTTTGAAATATTGAATTGGACGGATCAAAAAAGAATAAGCGAACAAAAAAGAGCACAGAATGAGAAAACGGACTTGGTTCCAAAAATCATAAATAGATGTCTGATTTAGTACTGAAGTGATTCTGAAAAAAAAACTGGTATCAAAAGAAGTTGGAAACTGTTTTTGTGTTTGGTAAACATTCAGCTTCAGCTTTTTTTTCACAATTTTGGATGGAAAAAAGCCAAAAACAAATAGCTGCAAAACCCAACTTTGAAAAACCAGCTTTTTTTCACATCTGTTTTACATAAAAATTTACCAAACATTATAATACTGTTTTTTTTTTCTTTTTCAAAAGCACTTTTACAAAAATATTTACCCAATACTCTGCTACTTTATTTCACATCTACTTATTCTCACAACACAGCAGAAGCAGTTTTTTTTTCAAAGCACCGCAATGCCAAGCCAGCCCTTATAACATTATAAAAGAAATGAGGCAGTCTCTTTGTACAGATTCTGGTTAGTGGTTCAATAAACAAATACAACAGAAACTACCATGAAAAATACCCTAATTGGAGCTATAAAACCACTACATTGAAAAGTACAACATAAAACAATCAGCACACGAGGTACGGTTACGGTTACGGTTACTTGCCACATCGAAAACTCTTACAGGGACTCCTCTTCGTTTGCCAATCACAAAGAAAGGTTCCGCTTCGTTGCTTCCATTTTTAACAAAAGATCCTTTATATCGGCTTGCATTCTCATCTTCATATTGGAGTATTCACGATGAGCTCGGTCTAGAGCTTGTACTTCTTCAAGTTTCTTGCTGTGCATTTCTTCTGCCTCGACTAAGCGCAACTTTGCTATCCTGCTCCTAAATTCTTCTTCAATTTTTTCATCCTTTGCCATTGCTATGCGTTTCAGCCCCTCAGCTTCCCTTCTTGCATCATCTGCTCGTGTTTGAAACAATTTTGCCTCAGCCTGCTTGATCCTCACAATGCTCTCCAGCTCATCGAAAAGAGGTTCTTTTTGGGCACTTGTGTGCAACTCTCTGTCCATAATGTGTTTCTCATGCTGATCGTAGTTAAAGCTAGGATGAGTGTCAGCTGCAGTTTCCAACTGAGGGACCTTTTCTGTGTATATTGATTTCAGCCATGGGGGTTCCTGGCTTGGCCCAGCAATCCCATTGTTCACTTTACTTTGATCCTTCCCCGATAAAATGGCTGTTTTGCCTAGCTTGGAACTGTCAGCATCTGAAACAAAAGTGGAGGACTTACTTAAAAACAGTGCAGTTTCCAATTAACTAAGCACAGTATTACAACGCAGAACAAAAAGGCACAACTTTGAGACTCAATAAAGGCATGAGTTTTCTGCTTCGGGATTTTATACTCCTGCTATGTCATAATATTCTCACATAAGCACAAAAAAGCAGTTCAGAGACATTGATACGGATGTATTTAGGCCAGGCATCAAACTGAATCCCAAAACCCATAATCCTAAGAAACGCGAAGCTTCAAGCAAGCCAAGCACATAATGTATGTACTACAGAAACCATCAGTTGTAATTGTTCAAGCAGAAAGAAGAATTCTTCCTCCGAAAGATTTTTATTTTGCATCTTCAATATAAAAACAAAAGGCTTCAAGTAGCTTCAATATATCAAAGGGATTCCATTCATGTCAAAACAAAGAACATAATTTATAAAACTTTTATTTACAGCAATTCACAAGTATCAAAACCTCCAAGTAACATCGATATCTTCTAAACCATGGAGAAAGGAAGCATCTGTAAATTTGTATTCCAGATAATTTTATTTTTTTTCAGAAAAAAGCATGATCCAAAACAATGATAATATGACAATGCATGCAGATTATAACCCCGAAACGTATTGTAAGAACGAAACAATAAATTCTTTCTGATAAAACAAAGAACTTACCCAAAAGAAAAGCCATGACATAATTGTACACCTCCGGAAGGTTAGACTTGTTTACCAATCTTGCCAGTGATTGATCAGCAATTTCATAAAGTCGTCTCCCTCTCACGTCCTTGCTGACAACAAATATTCTCTTAACGTATTCAAGTTCCCTAGCAAGATTTTCAATTGTCCAATCCTTTGCGAAATTCTGAAAAACCTCCTTCACGAACCCAAATATCTCAGAAGGATGATCACAGGCAACACAATGAAACTGCATCTCAGTCGTCCCTTGAGATCCAGTAGCACTGCGTCCATTTCTAATATAAGATTCCCGCAATGCGCAATCCGCGTGGCACCAATGGAGACAAACATCACACCCAATCCAACTACATGTATTTGAGGCCATGTCAAACTTTGAGCACACAAGACACATACACGCACTGCAAAAACCAGTCTTTGGCGAACAAACCTTGCAATCACATTCATCCACAGGCACAGGACTCCAACAAGAAGGATTTCTGCATCTTGAGTTCAGAAAAATTTCAGCCAAATCAGAAGATGATGCACCATTCTCTTGCAGGAGATAATTCGGTAGACCAGTCTTCAGAGCAACCAAGATTTCCAGTTGCGCACGATGAGCTTTTAGTAGCATCTCCATGGTTATATCAGACCTGCTCTGCAGTGCCTTCTGAAATGCAAACAGTTGCATGCGCTTATCCATATTTAACATCATATCGCGAATGGTCTCCTTCACACATGAAGCCGATTGTCCTGTCATCTCATGAAACTTTCTAGCCATTACATGTATGGGATCGGAGACTATCCTGGCAATGATTGTCTCCACAAAGTCAGCTCCACCAATGAGAAACTTCTTGTGTTCCTTCTGACTGCTAGTCCTATATAAACTACCACTATTTTTCTCTCTCAATAGTCGTTTTCTGTCAAAACTATAGTTCGATCCCATTTCATGAGATCCAACGCTATTCGAAGGTGATCTAACATCCTCATGGTTCCTTGTCTGTCCTCCTGACAACTGTTTATTGAAGCTCAGCTGCCTTTCCATTCCATTCGCCACTTCAGAGCTTCCTTCAGTATGCCTACGATGTTGTTGCCCTTGGACCGATTGACCATTTGGAATGCCTTGCGATGCTTGAGACTGTTGTTGATGAGACCCGTTTCCATTCATCAAGATTCTTTGATACAAAGGGATTTCTTTGCTCTTAGCATCATTCTGAACAAGTGCCTGCGAAGGAACTTCTTTACCCTTAGCCTCACTCTGAGCCAGTGCCTGCCAATCGATTCCCTGGAAAAGCGGACGACTTTTAACCGACTGTTCAAAGTCCATCGAATTCTGGGTGGTTAGCGAACAGCTAGGGTTGTGATAAAACGACTGAGAGCCTGAAAAGGATACTGATTGAGTAAATCCATCAGAGTTAGTACGAAAAGTATTACTTAGAGACTGAACACTCATTGCTTGGTCAGGAGAACCAGGAGCTGCACCACCAACGGGTAACAAAACATTAGGCAAGCTAAGAGAAAGATCAAGCGGCTCAAGTGCCAGCTTTTCATCCTTCATAATGGAACCAGATTGATCAGCTTTCTCCTGTCTCCTAACAGGAGAGCTTGAAAACAACTCGAAACCCCTAGTGCTGGGTCCTTCTATATCATTTTCCATGCCAGTTAACAGCTCTCTGGATTCTCTAGCAGTCCACTGACCATCTTCTGCTGAATCTACCATATCAGTTGGTGTCACAGCGACGCTTTTACCTTTATCCTTAAAATTCTGCCTCATATTCAGCGTATCTAGCTTAACCACTTCATTATCCTCCTCATCCTCTGTTACTACCTTGTCTGACTCTGTCATTTCATCATCATCATCCTCCGCCTTCAATTCAAGGTCAATTCCCTTATCTTGCTTTGGTTCATCTTCCAATTCCATCGGAATCTCGACCACTTCTTCATCACCTTCCCTCACACTCCCTTTTTCATCATCCTCATCTTCACGAGCTTCCACATTCCCGCTTTTATCAATCATATCGTTATCACCATTTGGCAAGTCATCATCTTTCTTCTCCTCCTCATCCTTCCTTTCACACACACTCTCGTTACTCACATCTTTCACCTCTTGTTTATCCGAGGACTCACCCTTCTCCTCCCTAGCCTCTTGTTTATCCAGAGACTCACCTTTCTCCTCAACCCTATCTGTATCCCTATCTGAAGTCTCACTTCGAATCCGTGTTTCTCCTGTTTCAGCTCCACCTTCAGGACCCAATTGGGGCTCACCTTCACCTCCACCTCCAACACCAGCTCCAGCTTCCGGCGCAAGCTCACCCTCCTCTATTTCACTACTAGTCCTACTCCCCTTATCAGCCTGAACCTCCTCCGTCTCCCTCTTCCTAACCTCAACACTCTTTGGCTGCTCAACCGGAGCCTCCTCCGTCTCCTTCTTCCTAAACTCAACATTCTTTGGCTGCTCACCCTGAACCTCCTCCGCCTCCACCTCCCTCTTCCTCACCTCAACACTCTTCGACTGCTCACTCCCCACGGAGTCCTTAGACCAAGTGGGCGACTTGGACTTCGACTCCGATTTCGACTCCTTCCCATCCCTCAACCTCCTCACCGGAGACCTAACCCTAGACTGCTCGCTCCCTGAATCCCTCAAACTCGACCACGTCGGCGACCTCACGTCCCTCAACCCCTTCCCTCCTCCTCTCTCCTCGAACTCCTTCCCAAACCTCCGCCACGACAACGCTCCGCTCCCGCTGCCTTCGCGCCTCGACCTGTCCCGCTCCGATCGAAACCCTTTCGGAAAATCCGCCGGCGACCTCCTCGACGCGGAGAAGCTCTCGGACCGGTGCATCAAATTACGATCGTACCCTCCTCCATCTCTATTGTATCGATCGGTCCCCTTCCTCCGGTCGAAACCGTCGAACTCTTGCCCCGGCCTCTTCCGGACAGTTCTGGACCCTCCGCCAAAACCGGCCTGTTCCCGATCGTCGTAGGAGCGAGCCGGCACCAGAGAAGAAGCCGAGGAGGCCGAAGAGAGCAAACCCTTCCGCACAGTATCTGGCTTATAGTAGAAGCTCCGGTGCGAGTTGGAGGAGGTCCGGCTGGGGTTGGAGCTGGAGTTTGGGTTAGGATTCGGATTCGGATCCTTCCCGAAGGAATCGAGATCGTCGCTGGATCTCAGCCTCTTCATTTCTCCCCCAAATTATAAATTAAATAAATAAATAGAGTACAAATTGAAGAGCTACCGGCTACGACGTTGTATTTGAGCTGAAGGGGGTGAGGGCTTTTGGCCATAAAGGAGGTCGAATTTACGGGGATTGCCACGGAAGCTGGTTGAAATGTGAGCCGGGGTTGCAGAGAGAAAGAGAAAGGGGATAGCCGGCGGAGAGGAAGGTTCGGGGAGAGAAGAAGGGGTAAAATTGGAAGGACAGTGGTGTCCTTGAGTCAACGCAGTTTTAACAACTGATGAGGAGAGAGAAAGAGCGAGAATGAGGAGAGAGAGAATGAGTTGGATACGCAAAGTGCGTGGAAAAGCATTTAAGAGTGAGTCCTCTTTTTTTTTTTTTTTTTTTTTTTTTGGAAACTAAAAAGTGAGTCACTTTGTTGGCGGGTCATCTTCAACTGAGGGCTGGCTAGATGACTCATTTTAGCCCTCTGACCCTTCAAGATTTTCCAAAATATATAATATTTTAATGAACAGTACATGATCATATTTGCCTTCGTCTCCAACCGAGGGTCAGATGGCTCATTTTAACCTTATCACAAAAAACCGTCTCCAACTAAGGATCAAATGGTCATAGGGTCAAACATAATTTATTATTTAAAAACTACAACTTAAATTCAAATCCAACGACTAAGTGATGTCAGCATGACGTCAGCTAGCCGTTGGATTTGAATTTTTCTTTTGCTATAAATAGGGTGGATATTGGGTTATAATTCACACAACTTTGAATTCAATCTATTTTAATTCAAGTTTGCAATGAATTCCAACTTTGGATCGTCTTCGGATTCCGGTTGGGGGTCCTCATCCAATTCCAAATTGGAAGGAAAATGGGCACAAATGAGACGAGAAGATAAGGAGTCTGATGAAGAAATACAAGTAAGATGCAACAAACAAAACAAAGCAGCAGTCATGGCTGCGGCCATGGTGTGTCAGCCAACTGAGGAACAACCTCAATGAGGTGGCTCTATTGATGGTCGCTCTTACAAACCATGAAACAGAGTGATGTCACATGCCAATATGATGAATAATTACTTCAACCCCAACTCGGTGTACACAAAAGAGGATTTCATATGTCGTTTCCGGATGAAGCGTCATGTTTTCGAGTGTTTACTTCGTGATGTCCAGCAGGTCAATCCATACTTTCGATAGAAGCGAGACAAAGCAGGGCGCCCTGGTTTCTCATCTAATCAGAAGGTTACTGTTGCACTCCGAATGATGGTGTATGGCTCCCTAGCTGATTCGATGGATAAAACCCATGGTATGTTTGAGTCTACATGCCTTGATACTTTTGAATAATTCTGTGACACAATTGTTCAGATTTACAAAGACGAGTACCTCCGAGAGCCAAATCAAGAAGATCTGAATCGATTCATTCGCAAAGCTGAAGACTGTGGGTTTCTAGGCATGATAGGGTCATTAGACTGCATGCATTAGGATTGGAAGAACTGTCCCACCGAATGGCAATGAGGTTTTAGCGGAAGGTTGAGAAAGCCAATTGTTGTGTTAGAGGCGGTTGCCTTATATGACACATGGATCTGGCATGCTTTCTTTGGAGTCCCTGGATCCCAAAATGACATTACAGTTATTGGGCGTTCACCCCTCTTCAATAACTTGACGGAAGGTAAAACACCTTAACTTGACTACTACATCAACAATCGTCAATACAATATGGGGTATTACTTGGCAGATGGCATCTACCCAAAGTCGGCAACACTTGTCCAAGCAATTCCAAACCCTATGAATGACGCAAAAAAATTGTTTACCTTACACCAAGAGGCATACCGGAAAGATGTTGAGAGAGCTTTCGGTATTCTACAAGCACGGTGGAAGATCATTAGTGAACGGGTAAGAAGGTGGAGTCGAGAAAGTTTGGACTCCATCATGATGTCTTGCATCATATTACATAATATGATAGTGGAGGATGAGCGAGATGGGTATATTGATGGAAATTCCGATTACAACTAAGAAGATCCAAATAGGTCAAGAAGGGCTCGTGCAAAAATATACGATGGCCCTAATTTGCCTTTCAATTCAAGAACTGGTAGTACCTACAACAGGATCTTGTTGCACATCTTTAGGCCAAAAGAAGCGTGGAGTAGGCGTTTAAGTTTTATATTGTTAAATGTTTTTTAAAATGTTGTTAAATGTTTTTGTTTTATGTTGTATAATTTGTATGTTGGTTAATGTTATTTAATGTTGCTTCATGTTATTTAATTTAATTTAATGTTGTATAACGGCTTAGGAAGTTATAGGAAAAAAAATATAATTTAAAAAAAAATATGAAACAAATTTTGTGAAATAGAAGTTATAGGATAAAAATAGAATTTAAAATAAAATAAAATAAATTTTGTGAAATAGAAGTTATAGGAAAAAATGGAATTTAAAAAAAAATATGAAACAAATTTTGTAAAATAAAAGTTATAGGAAAAAAATAGAATTTAAAAAAAATATGAAAAATAGAAGTTATAGGAAAAATTTTGTAAATAAAAAATAATAATAGAACTGTAAAAAAAAATATATTCAAATGCAACGGCTAGCTGACGTCAACTAGCTGTTACATTTGAATTTTTTCTTAAGCATTCCTGTCGGTTATAACTGACAGGAAAGCTGATTTTTCTAGCCAACCCTGGGTTGGCTGGTTGCAGCCAGCCCTCCAACCCTCCAACCCTCTCCAATTCCATGGGGCCCTCTCAGATTCCACAGCCCTCTGGCCTCGCCCTCGGTTTGAGACGGTTTTCGGGCTATTTTCGGCCCTCTGGCCCTCTAGACCCTTCGGTTGGAGATGGGCGAAGTGCGTTTGAATGCACGAAGCAGAAAGGGGTGCGTACTGCTCCAGACAGGCATTTTTATTTTATTTTATTATTATTTGAATGAGCGGGAGAGTTCGAAACTATGACAATTTAAGAGATAAAGAGTTTCGAACACGGAACATGTATTGTAGAAACTTAATACTTTCTTCACTAGGATACTGACCACATACAACATTCGGCGGATGTTAGCAGGTGTGATGGAAGAAAAGATTAACATTTCTTTTTCACTCTTATTTTCTTAAAATGACCGAGACATTCATTTCCAAAAAAAAAAAAAAAAAAAAAAAAAAAAAACCTCTTCGATTTAGATACCATTTAGTTATTCTTATGAATCAAACAATGGAAGAAAAGATTAACATTTCTTTTTCACTCTTACTTTCTTAAAATGATCCAGACATTCATTTGAAGAAAAAAAAATCATTCAATTTATGTACCATTTAGTTATTCTTACGAATCAACACAAATTACCTCTCTTAAAAAAGAGAAAACTTCGATAAGGGATGTTATTCATAAATTCCGATGATACCAAATATAGAGAAACTCATTGTTTTGATAAATATGCATATCAAAATAGTTAGGTGGAGTTCTGAGGGGAAATGGGAAAGGGAAGGGTGAGGAAGAAGAACCACAATGGCGCTTGATTTCCATTATACAAACTTTACCTAAATATGATTTATTTCAGACGTAAGAAATTTGTAGATCACTATATTTGGATGAGGAAATTTTAGATTACTAAGAAATTTTAAAATGATGGAAATTAAAATGAAGGAATTTTATTTTTTAGAATTTGGAAATTTTCTTGTTTGGTTAACCTAAAAGAAAAAGGGAATTTGAATACGAAATTTGTTATTTTTAAACTCTGACTCATAGAAATTTGGAAATGCACCTATTTATATGAAATTTAAACTTGGAAATTGGAAGTCCCAAATTCCAATTTTTTTTTCTTCACGCATAAATTCTAAATTTATATGTTCATGAATCCAAACAAGAGAATTGATGAATGTTAGTTTATAAATTCCTATTTTTTGTCAAAATTCTAAGTTTATTTTCCTCATCAAAACATAGTTTAATCGTTAGTTTTCAATTCACGGAAAAATTTACCTTGTGTAACGATACGTCATCCCATTTCAAAATAATTTACTTATTTATTTTTCAAATCATGAGATTAACAATAAATGAAACACATGAAGAAACAAAAGTATTTTCATTCTTGTTTTTTTACTACTTAAATCACATTGGAGCCAATTAGATTAAGATACAAATGGCTTTTTTTTGTACGTAATTTAGTGAAATTCCCACAAGTGACTTGTTCAAAAAGGTCAACATGCAATACGTTCTACGCTGTTGTCTATATTTTCTAAATCGTACAGGCAGACTTAAATATTTGGCCTCTTTGTACATGCATGTCTTTCTATATATACTATTATTAAGAAAAACCCTCCTTGTCAACTATTTACCCTTTTTCCCTATTTTGCCCTCATTTTTTTATACACAATACTTACATAAGGAGGACAAAATAGTAATTTTATATCTTTTGCCCCTTTTTTCCTATTTTACCCTCACTTTTGATACACAATACTTACATAATGAAGACAAAATAGTAATTGTGTATCTTTTGATAAAATGACAATCATATCTCAATTTTTTTATTTTATCCTCATTTTTAATACACAATATGTGACATCCCACATCGCCCAGGGAAGTGATCCTTAAATGTATATTCTCATCTCTACCTAGCACGAGGCCTTTTGGGAGCTCATTGGCTTCGAGTTCCGTAGGAGCTCCGAAGTTAAGCGAGAAGGGGCTAGAGCAATCCCATGATGGGTGACCCACTGGGAAGTTGCTCGTGAGTTCCCAAAAACAAAACCGTGAGGGAATGGTAAGCCCAAAGCGGACAATATCAGTGCTACGGTGATGGAGCGGGCCCGGGAAGTGGTCCCACCCGGGCCAGGGATGTGACATTTGGTATCAGAGCCTAACCCTGGTCGTGATGTGCCGACGAGGACGTCGGGCCCCTAAGGGGGGTGGATTGTGACATCCCACATCGCCCAGGGAAGTGATCCTTAAATGTATATTCTCATTTCTACCTAGCACGAGGCCTTTTGGGAGCTCACTGGCTTCGAGTTCCGTAGGAGCTCCGAAGTTAAGCAAGAAGGGGGCTAGAGCAATCCCATGATGGGTGACCCACTGGGAAGTTGCTCGTGAGTTCCCAAAAACAAAACCGTGAGGGAATGGTAAGCCAAAGCGGACAATATCGTGCTATGGTAGTGAAGCGGGGCCAGGGAAGTAATCCGTCCCGGGCCAGGATGTGACACAATAGGTAAGGATAATAAAACAGTAATTATGTAATATTAAGATAAAATATTAAAAACTAATCACAATTCTTTTTAAAATAGTAATTTTGTATTTTTTGCCATTTTTTCCTATTTT